GACAGTCGCGGGATCATGTCTTCAGTGAGTTTTAGACCCAGAGGCAAAGAACATTGTTGGAGCTCTGGGTCTCATGAGCCGTCGGGTAGATACATGGGCTGTATCAAGGTACTACAAGGAGTTGTACTACTGAAGATAAGGAATCAACACCTTTAGAATGGTAAATATCTGTTCTCCAGAAGCTCATTCCTTACCTTGTCTTGAGCTGTAGAAGCTGCAGAAGAGGGATGAAGCCAGAACAAATCCAAGATCCCATCTTCCCTCGTGAAAGAAGCCACAAATCATATTAAGACCCAGAAACACCTTTTACCAGACTTTTTCTTTTTGTGCCAACAACCAGCTCCCAAATCATAACACACACACTTCCATTTAGTTTTGAACACTCAGCCTAGCTTAGGCAAGTTTCTGGCTAACTCTTTTAGCTTAAATTAACCTGTTTGTCTTTAACTACCTTTTCCTACTTTCTTGCTTTCTCTATGTCAGACTGATTGACGGCTGCCTAGCTTCTGGCCCCAGGTGTCTCACTCACTCTCTCCTCTCTTCTTCCTCTCATTCCTCTCCTTCCTGCTTCTGTTCCACCTTCTCCAATTTATTCTCCCTGCCTGGCAGCCCTGCATATCCCTTCCCTGCCTAGTTATTGGCCAGTCAGTCTTTTATTAGGCCAACCAGGTGCCTTAGGTAAGCAACATGCGATAGATGCAACACATCTTTACATTATTAAACACACATCCTTACATTGTCGAACAAATTCAGCATAAACAAAGGTAACACACCTTTACACAGTTATAGTAATATCCTCAAACATTAGCAAATGTAACACATCTTTGCCTAGTTAAAATAATATTCCACAACAGCACATCAGTTCACCAAATGACTTCAGAGATGTCCTCCAGAGAGCTAAGAAATGACTGGTGACAAGAATCCTACAACATAATTGTTCCATATACATGGCTCTGCTGTGTCAGATGTCTGGATCCTTCTGAAAGAAGAAAAGCATCCTCTGTGTTAACAACACATATGATGGTTTTGAATCCAGTCCTCTGACTAACTTCAAAGAAAGTCTTTGTTTAGCAATTAGTCCTAAGTATTTTCTCACTTGGTCTATAAAATCACTCTGACTACAGAGACAGTGGCAAAGGTGGCTGAGGGCACCCTCCACACGGCTTTCATCTCACTGAAGGGACACCCCAGCTTTCCACTTCAGAGTCTCAGAGCCATAATCACCGGGAGGGAGCTGATGGATTGCACTCTGGCTCTGAAGGACCAGCTCATACATCAATGTCTCCCAAAGCTTCTGGGGGTTTTGTTTTTATGAAAAGGTGAAGCCACCCGGGAGGAACAGCTGTTTGTTTGGTTTTTCTGAATACGCCTTTTAAGATGCCACTGTGGCCACTGATGCTTATGGTGTAGCCCACATCTTCCACTGGCCTGTGATCAAAAATTGTGAGTGTCATGGATCCACCTCTCTTCTGCTTGCGTGTTTATTAAAGAACTCTCAGTTGTAGGTTCTCAGGTGTACACAACTGAAATGCTACCTCCTCATCTGATGATTCTTCTTCAGCTTTATAAATGGGTAAGTTTCAAGTGTCTGTGTCTAAGCTGAGTTTTCTTTCAAAGTCAGAGCTCACATAGAAATAAGATTAAAAGCTATGCTGATGGGATCCCCCAGTCTTCTTAAGGGATCACGTATTTCTTCTATGCCTTCAATGAAATACAGTTAATAACACCAAAAATTCTATTCTGCATATTTCTATAAAAACAATTTTAATTAAAGGAAGATCTGGCATCAAGTGGGAACTTTAGTGACAATATAAATAATTGGACTCTTTCTGAAGATTCAGGGTATCATGGTAATTAGCCAATTTCAAATCTTGTGCTGTTATTTACTTAATCAGATGTGCTAACTACTCATGCTTATAAGAACATGTCATCTTCTCTTTCCTGTTTGGATATCAATTATAATGAAGATAGAGAAAAAGAAATATAGGATAGAAAAAAAGTAAAGAATTTTTGCTGTATGTCTTGAGTAAAAGTTAAACAATGTATGGTACAAAAACACGGGTATATAAAAAGATTATATATATATATTTGACCCACAGTGTGAAATTGACTGGTCTGTGCTCAGTAGAATTGCTAGGTTATGGAGTACAGCCTGTGACCAACTTTACATAAAAGAACATTATAATGTGGGGGGCCCACAATGTGTGATGCCCAGGAGGACAGCACACCAGTACTTCTTTCCCTGGGAACTGTTAGAAATGAAAACTACCAGGCCTCACCTTAGACCTGCTGGCTCAGCCCTGGGAATGGGGATCAGAGTCTGTTTCAGGAAGTCTTAGGGGGAGATTCTGAATACCCACTTAAAAACACAGCTGAAACTCTGGGATGCAGCATTTCCTGCATGGCCACTAGGTGGCTCTGTTGCTCAGGACAGACTGGTTAGGGAGGGGAGCAGGGCATCAGATGATGGAATGGATGCCACTCTAAGGTGGATGAGGGATGTCTCTTACTTGTTGCTTCAATTTATTTCCAAGTAAGCATCCACTTTCCTAAATTTCCAAGGACAATCACAGAACACCCCTATGGTTTTACTGGCAAGTATAGAAATTGGTATTAATTTGTAGAATATAAAATGTTTTCTGTACTGTATTACCAAATATTACTATTGCTATCTAAAACCTGCATTTACTCCTTCCTTGAATTAGACACTACGAATTGTTTCAGATGTGAGTCGTGGCATTGCCAGTAAAATCAGCAGTTAGCCTTTGACCCAATCTGGAATTCTAATGCATTTTCTAATCCATTCTCACCCTCTGTACACTCCCCAAGTTCCTTGGGTCTACTTCTGACTTCCTTCAGTTCCTACCCCTTCATCCTTTGTGGGGTGAAACTTATATTGAGCCTCCAGCATCTTTCACAACATGTTCTAGATTCATCCTCACCTTAAGCCCCAGGAACCACCCAATGATCAGATACTGGAGAAACAGGACAGCAGAGTCCACTGCTTTACAAGGGTACCAGGAAGATGAGCAAGCTAGAGGCAACGTTCATTACAGCAGACTTTGGGCTGCATAAGCTTTTGGATCCTCTCAGGAGATGTCCCAGTTCAAATGCTTCTCACAAGACGGTGTAAATTCTTCAAAGTAAAAGCACTATAAAGTTTCATATAAATATTTTAACTCTCTCATTTTAGGCATCATCATTTTATTTATCAAAAGAAAAAGACTTTTTCACTTGCAGGGTGAGTGGGAAAGGATCTCTCCATGCACAGGCTGTGGGATTTTCAGGAAGATCAAAGCCCTTGAAGGGTACCTCTAACAGTCTGCATGACCTTTACCACTCATTAATAATGGACATTCTCATCTATCGCAGTTGAAATCTTCAACCTTTATCAGAGATGGGCATGCCTACAGTAAAAGGAATCACACATATCTAAAGCAAAATAGCATTCCTCTTGTTGTTTGTTTGGGTTTGGTAGCACTCGTTTAGCTACTAGGCCAGCAGTTGGAGACATTCTTAAATTCAGAAATCAAAAACTGATGATAAATAATTTACTATACTGGGATAAGGGTAAATAGTATAGTATACACTATACTACAGTAAATGTAGTATACTTTTATATACATTATACTATATTTACTATGTACTGTGCTAAATTCATACACTCATGCCTAGAGGCAACTGTGTAAAATTTTAGCATATTAATTTTTAAATTAAGAGAGAATTTGAACATTGTAGAATTATTAGTTTCGCCTGGCTTAATAGATACAGCGAAAATAAGATCATTATTTCTCTAAAGATCCTGTTTCAGAACTCAACAGAGCTGAATATACCCTGTGAGTTTCAGCTAATATCAGGGTTGGAGGGGGAAGCCGTGGCAATAATGAAGGTGGAGGTGCTAAAAGCTGGCTTATCCAAGTGTGGGAGGGAGTTCTAGATTGCACAGCTAGATACAGGAAGTTGAAACTAAATATCCGTTACCTTTAGAGTCAGGGAAAAATTATATGCTTACAAACAAACAGTACTCATGCAATTCCATTAAGTTCTAGAAAAACTTTTTACAATTAAATAAAAAGATTGGAAATGACAAGCTGGAGTTGAAAGATGACCAGGAAATAAGACCATTGCTTACCTATAAGACACAGACTGGCCACCTCTTGGATCCTCTACTCTAATTCATGAAAGTTGAAATTAGATCAGATTCTGGAAAACACTGGGAAGCCAAGAAAGGCCGAAGCCTCAAGGTACAGGCTGCGTATGAAGGTAGATGTTGGGTACTGAGATGAGAACGAGGAGCCATAGAAAAAATAGATGATCACATTTCTAATCCATGAAGATCATAGTGTTGACTGTTAATGGACTTGGGCGGGAGCGAGACAGTAAAACAAGAGAAGAGTGAGAATAACCACAAAGGAAGATGCTTTCTATTTTACCTGAACTTAAAGATGATTTTTATCCCTACAATATTTTTACTGATCATACAATTAGAATTAACTGGAGAAAGGAAACCTTCCCACATCGTTGAAACTTTGATCTGACTTCACACCTCACAGTTGCTCCTTTTTCTAGTTTGTACAGTTCTCAAAGCCCTGGATGGCATGGCAGCAGGTGTTCTGAATGTTACAGACCATGTCATTGTGGGGCTTACAGCTTTCTGCTTAAGAAACTAGTTGCACAAACACAGGGCCGGCCAGAGGTTAAATGAGCCTCCTACACTTGAATAATGGTCCTCGGTCATGAGACTTGAATAAATAGTGTGCTTTCTCTCCTTTCCTAGTGAGACAACTCACACAGCACAACCTGCCTCTGTATTACAGGGTTCCAAGTGTCCCACCCACTTGCTCTGGGACTTGAAGTCACAGCTAAGTGCACTGACTTCACACCTTTTATGTAAATAAATTGGTCACACCATACTGATATCCTTGGGGATATTTCTTCAGATTCTAATAAGTATGACATTGATGTGTACTTACATTTAACAACAGAATGATTACCTTAAGGTTTGGTATTTACTGACCAAATCTGGCTTGATATTGTGCGGTGTTGCCAAGCCACAGTGTTTGGAACCGAGTGAGGTAGGCTTGGATGGTTAGCAGAGCCAGGGCAGCTGAAGAAGACTTTTATGCTGGCTTTTCATCTGCTGTGCACTTTTTCATGGAAAGAAACTGCTGGTCCTTCCATCACAGTTGGAACACTGGGCTTCCAAAGGTTCTGTTAATGGCAAGTAAGTGAAATATGAGCATATGAATGTTTCCTTTTACATAGGATTTGATATGAACAAAACCCCAGAACATTTAAAGGAATTTGGAGAACCACAAAATATTCCAGGCCATAACTAAAAATATGGGAATGCATTAACATCCGATGGAATTCCAATCTATGCAATGTACATTCATATAGGATGAAAGAGATAGACAAATGCATTAACATGTTATAGAATCGTCTACCTCCCCAGAAATCTATATGAATGAGGGGGGCGGAATGGGAGGAGAAAAAATAGTGATTTTTACACCCATTTCTAGTTTTGGTTTAAACATTTGTCCCAGAAAACATTTTGGCAAGAAACACACATTTCCCAGCTGCCTCTGAGAGAGCAAGTTGCAATCTATTTTATAATATCCTTCGCAACTAAGTATTTCCTTGGGAAATTGCCTGGAAAGTTCATAACAACTAAGGATAAAATAACTTTTTGGTGAAATAGCCACATCTACAAGCCAAGGAGAGACACTGTCAGGATCAGATACAACTCCCAGATGCCAAACTCTGTCCGTGTTAACAGACCCTTGAATTTACCATCTACAAGAAACATTTGTAGAATGGATTAGTAGGCACTAGGGAAGGATTTGGACAAATCTGAGGATACAGGGTCTGCCCTATCCATCTCAGTTCTTGGGATGCGAAGACTGTGGGGATAAGATTGAGTTCTTTAATGCTAGGGGCATCTGAGATATTTTAGAACTTGTGAGCCTGTGACTGAGAAAGTCTCCAGGAAACATAGAGAGTTAGTCTTCTCACATCACCATGGGAGTAGATTCCATGAGCAGAGGATAGGCAGAACAACTGTGATTGTTCAGAATAACAAAACAAACAAAAGACAAAACCAAAATAAAATAAAATATGTAGGCTGCTACATGAGAGCAGAATCCCAAGCAAATATTGAGGAGGAGTCCACATAACAGGTGCATCATGAAATTGGCCTGTTTCTTACTGAATGCTGGGTTACCATGACAGTACAAAATTCTTACAGACACATCTGTGAATTGCTAAGTTTGCCCCATTCTCACCTTTCAGAAAGGAAAAGTCTCTAAACAGGCTTGGAGGCTCCACAACTGATTATGCTGGTATTCCTTGCCCAAAGCATTGTCCCTGCTGCTTGTCAATTTAAGAGTCCAGCTTGAAGGAGTCAGTCAATAATGTAGGCATGACCTTCTTGTTTAGCAAAATCAACATTTTTCAGGGAATCAGTCTGGCGTCAGGTTTTGGGTTGGTTCTCTCCAAGCAAAGAAGGTAGATCCTTTGGATGAGTGAGCCACCTGAGAGCTCAGGAGAAAGTACTTGAATCTCAGGCTTATTTCAAGAGCAAAGGCAGCTGAACCCATTCACCTGTGCTCCCCAGGGATCCACAGCAGGAGCAAAGAAATGGGGTGGGGGTGGTACACACTGTGCTAGGTGCATTACGTAGACTTGGTACATATTGACATTTATCAAATGTGTCAACTGTGCTCAGGGTACTACACGTTTGTAAATAATAAAGCCAACAGCCACAATGAATACTGCTGGAGGGTTAAGATTTAAATCTCCATCTGCTACTTTTTCCTGTGCCACTAAATCTCCAATTCAAAGAACAGATACCAAGGTTGTGTTTTTTCTCTCAGCTCCTCAGGCATTACATAGGTAGAGACGGAAAGAGTGTAAATCTTAGGAGGTTGATGAGATATAGGTGACACAAAAGTTGGGCAGAGATGCTAAAGGATACAAAGGGGTAAATTTGGATGCATGCGTGTCGCCATTGGACATGATCTTAAAAGAAGCTCTCTACTTCGCTAGTAATTTGAGAAAAGTGAGGTCAGGCTCTGAGGCCATGCGGTGTGTCAGGTAAAAGAGCTAGGGCTTCACTGGAACATCGGGGTTCCTTCGATGCACTCTATGTAGCTCTTCCTCTTAAATGTGTTAGAAGCACCTGTTCAATGCTAAATAACAAAAGGAAGGACCCCCCTGATTTAAAACCCATAGTAAGTTAAAATGTAAGAGGGATCAGCTTCCCCCAAATCTCTCCAGACTCTTATCTCTGGGTTGTGAACTCTGTCTTGGTCACAGACTCTGATGAGTTTGGACAGATTCCAAGGGTCACAGAACATGAGTGTGAAATGCATATATTCACGTTCACTGGGTAATAACTCAGTTGAATGACTGCCTGAGACACACAAAACCACTCATTGGTTCAGTCTGGTATACTCACTGCAACGATTTATGGGAGCAGGGAGGAGAAGCCTTCTGGGGTGGTTGGCTGTAGGGAGGAGTTTCTTGGTTTCCAGCAGCATGGTTCTGGTAGAAACCGCCTCAGACAATTGATTGCCATCCATCTTGGCTCAGAGAAAACTAACTTTTCACGCTTTCACTTCATCACAGCAACAGGTTAAAGCAGAGATTTTGCCCAAGTGAAGACAAATGAACGTGTGACTTTGTAAGCATGCCAGGCAAGGTGAGGAAAAGCAGAGCAATTTTGGATGTCAGGGCACTGGCCACATCATCAGTTAGCTATGGATCCTGGCTGTGTTCCTTCTCCCTAAGACTCTGTGAACTCCTCTGTGAAATGGATGAGTTGAAAATGACCTAGAAGCATCCTTCTAGTTTAAAGGTCAGTCAAGATTTAAGGTGTATACCTTGGTTGCTGTAGCTTGGACAAAAAAAAAAAAAAGAACCAAGGAACACATTGCCATTTTCTACCTGATTTAGATACTTCCATTATTTAACCCATTTAATATCATAACAACTCAATGAAAATAATATACCTCATTGTTATTCTCCTCTCATTTTACAGAGAGGAAACTGAGAATTGTACAGAATAACTTCCCTGGATCACAAGTTTAATTAATAAATACACAGAGTACCTAGGGGACAGAGAAGACCCTAATAGAAGAGGTGATACAATACATGAATGATTACCTCCAAATTTATACATTGAAATATTACCATCCAGTGTGATGATACAATAAGAACAAAAACAACAACTCAACATCAACAACTGAGATGTAATTCCCCTGGCAGAGGATTACATCTCAACATACAAGGCTGCTTGTCTTCAACAGCATCTCTTTAAATGTCCCTCATTATGGAATCATAAGACTACTACTTATGCCTTCCAAGGCCCTGAGCTTGATCCATAAAACCGAAGGAGGGGAAAGAAAATCTCCATAAACATATTACCTTTTTTTATCCATGACACCAGGACTCAAATGCAGGCAGGCAAGCAGCAGAATGTAGGTGACATAGAAAATAGAGTGACAACCAGCATTCATAAGGTCCTCATATGTAGACTGCAAGAACCACAACAATCAGTAGCATGGCACGATAACCCAAAGGGTACAGTACTGGAATGCATACTTCCACAGTAACCAACATCTGTCCAATTTGACTTAAGACAATCATACCTGGTAATGGAAGCTTCACCAACTACCAAGGTTAGTAAAGTCATAGCTCTTAGAAGAGAACTTAAAGCTGCCACTGGAATAAAACAGCACAATCCCAGCTGCATTATAAGTATTTGCCCTTATGCCCACAAATAAGTGTAGTCCTCACTCCATATCAAGAAGACATCTCTTTGAAACAGATGGGGACTATTATAGAAAATCATAACCAGTTTGAATAAAATGCAGAGTTGCAGAGCTGAACCCCAGTGTATACATCTATAAAGCAATTCCCACACCCAAGACTCTGGAAACACTAGGCAAGCGGGGTAGAATGATTGTAGGCGTTAGAGCACCAAGAAGTTTGCTGTAAGATTGTGTCTCCTGAGAATATCACAAGTTACAAGTTTCACTCATAAAGTCTCACCAACATGACTGTCTAAATAGGAGCTGAGCAAGGATGACAAGAAACATGGTAACATGGTTGGGGGGAAGCCTAAAAGATCTCAACACTACACAAAGTACAGTCAACTAAGAAATACTGAAAGTGGGAGGAATAGTCTTCCCCAGAGAAGAGCACAGCAATTTGTTATCCAATATCAGTCAGCTCTGAACATACACATACATGTAGGATTATACAGAATGATCAGTTTGGAAAGATTTATTTTCAAAAATTCATATACACATATGTATGTAACAATAATTTACATGGAAAGGGGACCATGCATTTGAAAGAAAGCCATGAGGAGAACATGGGAGGGTTAGGAGGGAGGAGGGGGCAATAAATGGTGTAATTATAATCTCAAAGCTAGAAGAAAGCAAGTAAGAGAGTCATGCTGGATTGACTTAAACCTCTACTATTCAAAGGCAGAAAAACCAAAACAGGGGTAGGCAGGACTCATGTTAGAATTTAAACAGTTCTTTTCTCAGTGTTAAAATTTTGACTCCTACAGCTAAACACTGAGCTGAACTCAAGGAATCTCAGTGACAGAGAGGGAGGACTGATGAGCAAAGGGGTTAAGACTGGGCTGGTTTAACACCCAAAAACAGCTGACCTGACAATGGTTACCTCTTGAATCCCAGACTGATGGCTGGGAATCCAGCATGGGACTGATCAAACCCCCGAATGTGGGCGTCAGTGAGGAGCCCTAGGCAATCTATTGGACCTTGGGTAGTAGATCAGTATTTATCCCTCACATACACATGGACTTTGTTTGGGTGCCCATCCCACAATGAGAGATGCACTCTCACCCTGAACTCTTGGGGGAGGGTCTAGGCCTTGCCCTGGTTAAACGACAGACTATGGACACCCCCATGGAGGGCCTCACCCTCCCTGGGAAATGACGGGGTACTGGGGGGTTGAGGGGAGGGCATTGGGAAGAGGGGAGGGAAAGGGAGAGGGACCTGGGATTGACATGCGAAGCAACACTGTTCTAATTTATATTTAAATTTAAAAATAATAAAAAAATTCTCAGCAGGGTCCCTCCACAAACCTCACAAAAATATAACTGAGGAAATATCCAAAATTTGGACAAGATTACAACCACATTTCTTCACTGTAAACTGAAGGAGAAAAAGTCCCTT